ACATTCACTTTTTATAAACAAAATTGTGCAGAAACAAATAGTTTGGATAAAGATCTGTAGTTGCATAAACACAAGGTGATCCATATTAGGATAGTGCAGACAACAAGCAGCACGTTCAGAACTGGGAACATTTGAAACTTTGAGATAAAGCAAACCTTTTATGTAGGCAAGTTAAATTTAAACAGTTACGGAGAACTCTGTTGAAACAAGGCCAAGTTTGAATTCTGATTTTTTTTTTTTTTTACATATTAAATATACTTTACTATTCTACAACCCCAATTCTTAAAAAAAAAAAAAAAAGTAAATAAAATCCAAATACATTTATTTTCAAATCTTAGAAAACCATATTTTATTCACGATGAAACAAAGTAATAAGAAATTACTTTTTTTTAAATGAGGTTATTTTGAATTTTATGACAGAAACACGTCCCAAAGAAGCTGAAACAGAGGCAACAAAAGTGGTACAAGCAAACAAAAAACAGCTGGAGGAGCATTTACAAACCGGATTCCAAAAAAGTTGGGACACTAAACAATTTATGAATAAAAACTGAACGCAATGATGTGGAGATGGCAAATGTAAAATTTTATTTGTAATATATCATAGACGACAGATCAAAAGTTTAATCTGAGTAAACGTAACATTTTAAAAGAAAAATATGTTGATTCAAAATTTCACAGTGTCAACAAATCCCAAAAAAGTTGGGACAAGTAGCAATAAATGAATGGAAAAAGGAAATTGAGCATATAACGAACAGCTGGAAGACCAATTAACACTAATTAAGTCAATTGGCAACATGATTGGGTATAAAAAGAGCTTCTCAGAGTGTCAGTGTCTCTCAGAAGCCAAGATGGTAAGAGGATCACCAATTCCACCATTGTTGCGCAGAAAGATAGTGCAGCAATACCAGAATGGCGTTACCCAACGTAAAATAGCAAAGACTTTTAAGTTATCATCATCAACCGTGCATAACATCATCAAAAGATTCAGAGAATCTGGAACAATCGCTGTGTGTAAGGGTCAAGGCCGTAAAACTCTACTGGATGCTCGTGATCTCTGGGCCCTTAAACGTCACTGCACCTCAAACAGGAATGCCACCGTCAAGGAAATAACAGAATGGGCTCAGGAATACTTCCAGAAAGCGTTGTCAGTGAACACAATCCACCGTGCAATCTGCCGTTGCCAGCTGAAACTCTACAGTGCAAAGAGGAAGCCATTTCTAAGCAAGCTCCACAAACTGAGACGTTTGCACTGGGCCAGGGGTCATAAAAAATGGAGTGTGGCAAAATGGAAGACTGTTCTGTGGTCAGATGAGACACGATTTGAAGTTCTTTATGGGACGCCATGTCATCCGGACCAGAGAGGACAAGGATAGCCCAAGTTGTTATCAACACTCCGTTCAGAAGCCTGCATCACTGATGGTATGGGGTTGCATGAGCGCTTGTGGTATGGGCAGCTTGCATGTCTGGAAAGGCACTTTTAATGCAGAGAACTATGTTCAGGTTCTAGAACAACATATGCTCCCATCTAGACGTCATCTCTTTCAGGGAAGACCCTGCATTTTTCAACACGATAATGCCAGACCACATTCTGCAGCAATCACAACATCATGGCTACGTAGGAGAAGGATCCGGGTACTGAAATGGCCAGCCTGCAGTCCAGATCTTTCACCTATACAGAACATTTGGCGCATCATAAAGAGGAAGGTGCGACAAAGAAGGCCCAAGACGATTGAACAGTTAGAGGCCTGTATTAGACATGAATGGGAGAGCATTCCTATTTCTAAACTTGAGAAACTGGTCTCCTCTGTCCCCAGACGTCTGTTGAGTGTTGTAAGAAGAAGGGGGGATGCCACACAGTGGTAAAAATGGACTTGTCCCAACTTTTTTTGGGATTTGTTGATGCCATGAAATTTGGAAACAACAGATTTTTCTCTTAAAATGATACATTCTCTCAGTTTAAACGTTTGATCTGTTATTTGTGTTCTATTCTGAATAAAATATTTGATGTTGGCACCTCCACATCATTGCATTCAGTTTTTATTCACAATTTGTTTAGTGTCACAACTTTTTTGGAATCTAGTTTGTAGTAGGGAAGCGCAGCAGGAGAGCAAAGGGTGAACCCTTCACGCAGCTGATGCAGCACGGAGCAGAAATGTATTGTACTTTGCTGTGCTGTAAACGTTGCACCGCCATACAAGTCACATCAGTCTAAAAATGTCTAATAAAGAGGAAAATAAATACCGTCGCTTCACCGTATAGGTCGCATTTATTGCACGTCACCACTGACCACCTGGAAACGTGAGATATGTTGTGCCAAAAATCGATTGGCTGCTAAATGGTGGCCACGGGAGTGTGCATGGGAGGACTTTAACAAGAACACTTAAAAACAATTTTGCTTGAAATTATAGCAAAGGTGTGTCTCAGTTTAACTTTTCCTTAATAAATGCACTTTAATGGTCAAATCAGCTGCATTTCACCTGGGCGGTGCAGTGAAATGCAGCTGATTTGACGTTTGCTCCAGGAGTTCCAGAGCAAGACAAATGTGGCTTGTATGGCAAGCAAAGTGTGTCATTAATAGCCACTTTTACCTATTAATGAGACGCTTGACTTGCCATATAGGTTGAGCGCCCTCTAGTGGTTGAAAATGGTACTGTTCAATATTTTTCATACCCGAATGAATGAAATTGTCAGATCTCAATCAAAAATTATGTGTTATGTGTAAATTTATGTTATAAATATGGAGGAAAAACATGAATAAGTCACTTCGGTGTATAAGTCGCAGGACTTGCAAATTTATGTAAAAAGGTGCGACTTATACGGCAAAAAAAAATATGGTACTTCTTGATCAATTACATTAAAAAAACTGAACATAGAAGTTCTAAAATAATGTAAAATAACTTAACACTTTTATAGGTCGTGATTATGACGATTTTACGATGTGACATTAAGTTGGAAAACAAAAGTCTATCAGTGCAGCTGGACAGCAAAGGGTTAACCCTTCACAAAGCTGCTTCAGCAGGGAGCAGAGATATGAGTGGCAGAGCAGAGGGAGCTTCTCCCTGCACCTGTGGGCTGCACACAGGTGCTTAATCATTTTAAATTATTTATTTTATATAATCCGTGCCGCTCGTGTGGATCATCCATCAATCAGCCAATTGTGTGTCATGTCCGCTCTTACTTTGAAAAACCGCGAAAGAGCAAGTCTGCGAAAGTCTAACCGCGAAACAGCGAGGGACTACGGTCTGTCGATTGTACGTCCGTTACTCGTTTCCTTTCTCAGCGCCGAGACAAAAGCTAAACGACAAGGAAAAACAAATATGATCTGAAGTTAAGTTAAACCTCCCACTCATAACAATAAATCAAGTTCAAGACAAAAACAACTGGCCTTTATTTTGTAGCTGAATTTGGATTCATCATGTCCTGGATGACTGAGACTCTTCACCAGCATACTCCCACTCGTGTTTCATTCAAATAATTAAGAGGCCACAAGACGTGATTAGTTTAAATAACATTTACTTGCACACGTCACACACAAACCGAAACAAATCGTGGTGGTACAGATTAGAGGACAGCAGATAAAATCCAATCGAACCGAATGATGAACACACGGTGCAGCTGCGTCTCCTGCTCCACGCGCAGCACCAACGGTCCGCTGTGGCACCACTCGGGTGAAACGCACGAGAATACAACGAAAACACACACAAAAAAGAGCAGCAAATATAATTTAAAAAACACCCGACCAGAAAAGATTTGGACTCTTGAAAATGAGCAAACTAACTATTTTACACAGCAAATAAACACTGAAACTAAAGATTCAGATGGAAGCCAACGCAAGGCAGAATGATCACCACGGGAAAAAAATTAAATAAAAAAATAAAAAACATTGTTCAGGTTCAAGTGTAGCTGCTTTCTGAGCAGAAGTCAGAGGTAATAAGTTTTAAACAATCAAACTGTCAACCAGATGAGTATGTCAATAAAAAATTTATGAGGACATGACCAATCATCTGCCTCTAGCTTCCATTAATACGTCCCCAGAAAGACTGAATTCTCGGAGACAAATGAGAAGCGGAAAATGCTTCGGCGTTCTCCGTCAGTGGGCAGAACGCTCGTAGCCACCGACCCGATCATCCAGCTCCATCAACAAGGTTTTAAGACACTGAAAAAAAAATTCATACACGAAAAAAAAAAAAAAGGTCGACTCGTGGACAAAATGCGTGAAAGGAAACTTGAAATGGCGTCTTTTACACGTGAGAACAAGTCGTGACCAGACACTCGACAGGTGAAGAACAGACTTGGTGAAATGGGTTAGAGGGTGTGGAGCGAACGACAAACAACGTGGAAAAGGGTTCGAAAACATCCCAGAAAGGTGAAGCTTCATTTCATAATACACTCGAGCAAAAGTTGCACTGGTGGATGGAAAGCTGCGTGAAATTTCTAAATCCAGCTCTACAGCAAGTAGGACAACCCTGTGGGAGGATGGGTGCAAACAAAACATCTTGAACTCTTGAACTTTTTACATAGAGTTAGGAGGGCTATTTAAAAAAAAGTTAACCCTTGGACATAAAGCTTCTTTTTAATAAGTCCCTTTGCTTGAATCTGAGGACAGGATGACATTTTTTAAAATGCCAAACATTCTTAAAAAAAAAAAAAAAAAAGCAGCACTGTAAACTGGCCACACTACCACACCACACTCACAGGAATAATAATAATAAAAATTAAAAAAAATCACTTATCTACTTAAACATTTTTTTTTTCTCTTTGTACAAGTTGAACAAGAAATTAAATTCAAATAAAGTCAAAATAGAACAGCAAATTTACAAAAACGATTAAAAAAAAAAAAAAATTTAAAACAGAGGGGGAAAAAAAATTAACACCATTTTTCATTGAGTGACGTAACTTTTCAAACAGCTGTCAGCTGACCTCCAGGGGTCACTCAACAGATAAATCCAACCGGAAGAGATCCCCCGTGTCCTCTCGGCAGTTGACTTATTCACCGGTTTTCAGAAGATGCGCTTACGCTTCAGGTAGGAGTCCGCGTAGTGACCGCCTAGGCCTTGGGAGTGCTGGCCCACGTAGCCCCCCTCGGGGCTCGGCTCTGGAGATGGGATCAGGCGTGAGAACATGCGTTTGTGGCTTCCGATCGGCGTCTAGAACGAACAGAAAGATGATTGGTGAACAGCGTCTGTGTATGAGAGGGCTAACGGTGAATAAAAAGCAGCTACGGCAATCTGCTAATTACCTTCATAACGTTCCCCAGTCCTGAGGAGCAGTTGGCAAGATGGCTTCCGGGAGGCATTCCCACAGCCTGAGGACATACAACTTTCTCAGCGACCAACTAATTTTACACTCCATAACCCCAAAGTACTACAGTAATTACTGAACATTGGTTTCTTCTTCAAGTATAACCCTCTTTATTCGACAAATGAGAACAAAAACATTATCGCCTCTTGCCTTTGAAGACGTGATAATAGTTGCAGAAGGAAAAGAAAAGAGGATCTGATCATTTATGAAGGTTTAGACGTACCCTGTTGAGGTTGTTGCCACTGGAAACTTCAGGCTCCGAGCTGTAGTATGAGGTGGGGGGTGGACTGGAGGAGTAAGTGTAGTGGGAAAACCGCTCGTTGTAGTCAAGGTGATGAGAGAGCTGCAAAAAGTCCGATTTCAGAACAGTTACTAAAAGAGAAGTACACAATTAACTTTGAGACTTTAATGCGACTGAGCCATCTTGCAGTGGCAGACGCATCACTACCTGCTGGCTGAATCCTGCCGAGACTCCAGTATCAACATTCTCTTGCTGTTCGTACAAGTGGGCCAGGACATCCTGAGGAGAAACGGCAGATGGGCGTCAGACCGCATCACATCATGGAGTTGTGCAGCAGTAAAGCAGCATATATTAATGCCATTAAAGCACAAGTGTGGACAACACTCCGCAGACGAGGCAGTAAAAAGGTGCGGTTACCCGGTGCAGAGGATATTCAGGGCTGCAAGAATCCTGGTAGCGCAGATTAAAACTCGGCTGGAGGTTCTGATGTGCGTACTGGTTGGACACATTACTTAGAGTGGGCCTTTTCCTGTAGGGGTGAGGTCTGCAGCTTGCTCCTGGAGAAGAGGACGAGAGCACAGATATACTTGGCTGAGCCCATGAAAGAAAACAAGACCGACAAGTTCGACCCCTACAAAAACAAATAAAAATCATGGAATCACGCTCTTTTGAGTTTGTTCTTTCAATGGTTTAACTTTGCATAAGAAATAAATGAAATTAAACATGCTATGAAACTTTTTTCCTCAAAAGTCCTACCTTCTGACAATGTACTTTTCGCGGTACAAGTCGCACTGTTTTGCATATTAGCATGCCTGTGGCTTACACAGCGAAGCGACTTATTTATGTTTTTTTTCTCCATATTTACAATTAAATTTTTGGCTGATCTGACGATTTCATTCAATCCGACATGGAAAATATTGAACAATACTATTTTCAGCCACTAGAGGGCCCTTGAGTAATACGGCAAGCCAAGTGTCTCATTAATAGGTAAAAGTGGCTATTAATGAGACATTTGGCTTGCCATACAAAGCCACCTTTGTCTCGCTCAGGAACTCCTGGAGCAAATGTCAATTCAGCTGCATTTCGCCGTCCAGGTGAAATGCAGCTGATTTGACCATTAAAGTTCATTAATTAAGGAAAAGTTCACCTTTTCTATAATGTCGAGCAAACAAATAATTGTTTTTAAATGTTAAGTTTAAGTTGTTAGATTATTTTTAAAGTCCTCCCGTGCACGCTCCCGCGGCCGCCATTTAACGGCCAGTCGATTTTTGACACAACACTGGCCAATGTTTCCAGGTGGTCAGCGGTGACGCATAATAGATACGACATATACGGCGGTGTGACGTGTACGGCAGAAAATACGGTAAAAGAGTAATTTAATTGTAGTCAGGCACTTTTTTTAGATCAAGTAGAGGAAACAATTATAGATCACTCCAAAAATTAAGACTTATGAGGACCATTCGGACTTTGTTGCACCACCTCTGGCTTTTATAAACAGCTTAGTCTCCAAGGCATGGACCTAACAAATGAAACCATTTTCTTCATCAAAATGGCTCCAACTGTCTCTTATTGCCGTTATAAGCTCAGCTTTGCAGAATGGAACCTCGACGTTGACCGTTTTCTTCAACTTCCAACAGAAATTTTCAACTGGGTTAAGTCAAGTCAAGTCATATTTATTTATAGAGCACAATTTAAAACAGATAGACTGTTATCAAAGTGCTTAACACTAATGGTAACACTGAGAAATAAAAAGCAGTAAGAATATACCTTAAAAAATTAACAGCATTAAAATGAAGACATGGAACAAGATATACTAAATCAACTCACACAGTATGAAACGCCAGAGAGAACAGATATGTTTTTAGCAGGGATTTGAACACAGGAAGGGAGGTGGCATGCCTAATGTTGGGGGGTAGGTTGTTCCACAGTTTGGGACCCATGACTGAAAACGCCCGATCTCCTCGGAGCTTCAGTCGTGTTTTTGGAACAACCAAAAGCAGCTGGGACTATTCACAGGCCATGCCATCGACATTAATGTATTTTTTTTTAATGAAGGAAAGTTTTTACATTCTTCGCCCCATTGCAAAATGAAGTCATCACCAAGCACCCTTTCAACTGGTGGAATAAGAGAAGTGTCCAAAATTACAATGCAAATGCTGGCATGTATTTAAGAAGTGCCATCTCCCCTACGTTTTCATCTGGCATGACACTTTCATCCTGTCCATGCTCGCTTCTCTTTAGCCCACTGTCGTCTTGTTCTGTTTGGGTTGTAACGATGGCTTTGGTTCGGCTTTTTGGCTAAATCCCATTTCTTTTAGGTAATTTCTTACAGTTTAGTCAGACAACGACTCCAGTTCCACAAAATCCCATGTGTAAATTTCTAGGTTTTTTTTTGTTTGTTTGTTCGTTTTTACTTCCGACCTACTGTATAAACACAATAGACCTAAAATGAAACAAAAAAACATGAAATCCAAACAGAAAAAGTAGTGCTTTTGTAACTGTGAAAACCACAAATATTCATAATGAATTGTATTATTTGCAACTCTAAATGCAAGTATAAACCAATATTCATACACATATGTAAACATTTAGTAAAACAAAGTTATTTACATTATTTTCATAGAAATGTAAACTTTTCCTGAGGCACTATTAGGCCAAAATGAGGTGTTACAATAAAATGTCATAAATGATTTGTGTCACTCATAAATACAGTTTGTCCAAATCAAGGCAGGTGGGCACGTCACATTCCCTTTTTGGGTCATTTTCTATGTCCTGCTCTGGATCAGTCAGTTGAACGTTCCAAACTTTGAATCCGTATCGTGTCATTATTTTGGCTGGGAGGGGCTCAGACAAAATGTGGCTTTTTCTCCATTGATCCTGGATCTTTGGCCAACATGGAAATCAGGAGACCAAAACGTTTATACAAATCTTCCATGTCTGTTGGTATATTTGTATTTTTTAAAGAATATGTTGTGCTGCCTTCTCGTTGAGTGATGGTGCAGATTGTCCAGACTGGTCAGAGCAAAAAATAATTTTAAAAATATTTTGGACTCGGGTGGAAACTGTGTCTAGCACTAGAGTCTCATGTACAAAAGGGTGATGCATGCAATTCAGATGTATTAAGAATGAAGTGAGCGTGGAAATGTACGCAGCACCACGTCAACTTCATGGCTGGTGTACGCACGTTTCTATGGTTATTGGTCCATTGGTGATACTGGGAAACTGTTAACGATGTGAAAACTATTATTCTACACACCGAACACACATGAAGAATTAATAAATCCACATGTATGAAATTAGATGAGTGGAAATGAAAGCTGTGCAAAGTGATGCAAAAAATAATTTTAACAACAATGGGCTTATCTTTGTTAGAGGACATAGCAAAATGCAGAGAGCATGTATTTAGAGATGGAGGATTTTCCAGCCCATGATGACGACTGGCTACACGGCTGTTTTAGGCTTCCAAGGAAATCCTTTTGGAAATGTGCTTGGAGCTGCAGCCGGCCTTGGAAAATGATACAGCAAGGAGCCGTGCACTACCCGTGCACATACAACTGCTGACCACACTGGGGTTTCTAACAACAGGGACATTCCAGAGGGAGCTGGCAGATGGACTGGGACTGTGCCCGTTGACCCTGAGCCGAGCCATGCCAGCTGTGTGGGATGGAATTATCCGTACGTCAACCAGGTATATCAAATTCCCTACCAGGCAGTTGAAGAGGCCAACATTAAGGTGTAATTTGTAGTGACAGCCAGTTTTCCTAATGTAATCAGAGCCATCGACTGCACAAACACACTGCTATAAAAGCACCATCACAGGATGAATATGTTTATGTTGACGGGAAGCATTTTCATTCAATCAATGTGCAAATTACATGTGATGCGTAAAAGCAACTAACCAACATTGTGGTTAATGTGGACTGGTTCAACACACGATTCATTCAAATGAACAGCATGGTTGGGAACAGACTATAAGCTGGCACGGTGCAGGATGGGCGGCTTCTTGGTGAGTAAATTCATTTAAATCGTCTTAATATGTCTGACCATTTTTTTTTTGTAATTTCTGCAGGTGTGCTGCTCTGACCCCACAGCATTTCCAGCTTCACACACATTGTCCCACTCGCTCCCCCTAATGCCAGAGGACTGTGCCAGACAGGATGTTTTTACATGTCTCTACCTCATTTAGAAGCGTCTCCAACTCACATTCCATGAAGTTCCTCTTTTTTTCCACGTGTAGACGCTTTCTGATAATGCAAAGAGGAGATTCCTCAGGTGCAGGGTAGATTTAAACCTATTTGCATATTTAAATGGATTCGTGTCAATGGAGAAGTCAGGTATTCTCTTATGTGCGCTTAATTCCACATTGATTGGGATGTACAAAAGAAGTGTGCTTGGATTCATGCGTACGCACGGTTTCATACACCTGGATTTATTTGTGTGTACGCTGCTTTCTCCATTTAAGTGTATGCCATGTTTCAGTAGGAAATCAACACAAGCCTTTGTACATGAGGCTCCTGCTGTTCTGTGACCGGAACCTATTTACCTCTGGGTCAACATCCACATCCTTGTTTTCTGCTAGAGCGATTGAAACATCGGTCATGAGACCAACACGCGACAGCTCATCGATTGAATCCAGCGAGTTAATGCCAGAAGGTTGGAATTTTAACACGATAGTTTTATACAAAACTAAACAATTGACAGAAAATCCCTCAAAGGTGGCGACATCATATTTTGGCCAGGGGTTGTAGCAAAGCCTGAACCAAGCAGTGGTTTCCCCACAACTTACCTGAGGAAAACGCATGGTTGATATTGAGGAAGGCGCTCTGAGGAAGGTTCATATCTTTTGGAGGTTCACTCAGTACCTGATGTTGAATAAAAAAAAAAAATAAAAAAAAACATTTTTTCTTTGTTACCATTTTGAGGGGTTTAAAAAAAATCTGAACATCTGAGATCACTTGTTGAAATGGCATGAAAACGCACCCCTTGTGCTGCGAGGCCATCGGCACCCATCATGCCTCCCATCACGGGAAAGGAAACGCCTGGTAGTGTGGGAGGGGAGGTCTGGGAGTAGCTGCTTGATGATGTGGGGGAATCCTGCTCTCGTGACATGGCCCTGCCAAGTGACATTGGCTTTAGGGGTGCCAGAGGATCTGACTGAAGACTCAGTGCTGGGACTGCGCCACCTAGAATAAAAACATGACTAAGATCACAATCTGTGCAAACAGCTTTAAAATTCAGTGGTCACAAACATTCAAAATTAAAATATAAATTAAGGCCTAATTTTCCTCTAAGGAATGCATATCGGCCACGACTTTTCATGCCAAAATTTTAATCCAAGATTGTCATTAGTTAACAACAAAACTACAAGAATGTAGTCATTTTGGTCAAACTTTGAAAATAATATCCTGATGAGCAATAATCCAGGTAGAAAAATCTAACAAGGTTAAGGTCCCGTTTACATGAGAACAACCTCTGGAAACATTAGTGGGTTTTTTCAATGTTTATAAACAACAACAACAAAAAAAAAAAGAGTAGGTTTACACGAAAACACTGTAGATTCCATGTCAGTTGGGTTGCCAGATAAGAAATTATGAACTACAGAATTGTCGCTTTAAAATTATAGTATTTTGACCTAAACAGTCATATGAGCTGAGTAAGCGTGTCGTAAGATGAGTTTGTTGAACATGTGCACAGAAAAGGAGGGGGTAAATAAAACATTTAAAATTTATCTGGCAACACTGATGAAGGACTCCGCTGCATGCAGTCTTTGCATGATCACAGTTATGTCCAAACTGATGAATACACCAACACACACTGTTATTACTAGTATCAGCCCTCTGTGAATAGCAAGTGGCCATCAGGGCACTAACGACCAATTGATGGTCCTCCTTTATCATGTGAACAGCTAGTTTTGGCTGTCACCAGCAAAATGGTTGATCCACAATAAGAAGGTGCTTATAAGACCGATATTGTTGGAGTGTCTCAAACTGAAGAAGTCTTTTGGACAAAAGACGAAACTTTTCAACAAAGAATCCGTCCAGAGGACCTGACTCAACCTTGTTCGATTTGAAAATCATATTATGCACAACCTCATGCAAGATCACAAGATGTCACGCTCAGAGTGCACACTCACACTCCGCATTTTATAGGTACGGAAATCCGATGAACAACATTAAGCCTAATTTGGTAATTTAATTGGAACAAAATCATGAATGATGAATAATGTAAGAAGTGCAAAGTCTGATTAACAGGGAAAAGAGGATACAGATGTTTGCAATCAGAAGAAGTGCAGCAAAAACATGTCATTAGTAGCTCAAGGAGACGCGGCTGGAACTGAAATATGCCAAACCTTGAGGGGCATCTCCCAGCAGATGGACTCCCTGCTGGACGGGCAGAGCAGCCAAAGGATTGTCCCCAATGAGTCCTGCCTGTTGGTCGAAGGACAGATCAGTGTCACATGAGGGTCACGCTGCCTGGAGGCAATGCTCGCGCAGTAGAAAAAAAAAGGCTGATTTAAAAAAGCACTCTGAACACAGCATTGAAGTTTACTTACCAAGTATCAGATTAACCCTTCGAAGGATAAGACATTTACGGTTTCACAGCACTCAGCACAACCATAAAAATAAATACATAAATCAAAACTTCACTTTCCCCAGACAGCTTACCAAGCCAGGCAAATTTGTTCTTCATTACAAACTACACACACACACACAGGACAACCAAACACAAAACACCATTATCACACACACAAGGGAGAAGAGGGTTTTCTTTACTGTGCAGCACCTGAGCCCAAAGAAGAGGATTCCCCAGAAAAGCTTGCTAATGGCATGGAGGAACAGAACATAGCGGGGTGAGACAAGTTGAAGATGACTTAAAAACAGGATGGAGGAGCCGTAGGAGGGAACATATCAGGGGGCCAAAAAAGTGTTGGTACCTGCTGGGCTTTGGCCTGGTTCTGAAGGAGCACCTGCAGCAGGGCAGCTGAGAGAGAGGGGTTGGCCAGCAGCGGCAATGCAGGAGCTGCTCCAAGGATCCCTGGATATAAATAAAAGTCAAGATTTAAGTAATAAAACCAATAACAAAATCTGTTTTTTTTTTTTTTTTTTTAAACATGGCCAAGGGCTCTCAACCTTGCTTGTGTCCCTGTGACAGAGGGTTGAGCAGCATCTTGAGGGTGGCAGGGTTATTAAGGCCTGTGAGTATCTGCAGCACTGTGGGATCAGGGAGGAGACCTTTGCCTCGGTTTAAGGCCTAGGAGGGAGGAGCAACGAGAGGAAGCATCACTGCACAACTGATTAAGTGGCAGCTGCAGACAAACTTGAATTAAGCGTATTGATTAAAGTGTAATACCATGGTTTGTGCAGCAATCAAAGCAGCCAACATGCTTCTTCCAGGAGGACCGGGGGCACAGAAGGACACCCTGATGTGCATCCCGCCCAGCAGCCTGCCATCTGCGAGTCTCTGTGCCTCCTCGGCCATCTCGGCTGTGGAAAACTCCAGCACAGCGAAGCGCCGGAAACTTCCATCTTGTCCCTGAGCCAGCTGTAAAAAGGAGAAATCAAAACACTTATACAATTTCACACCTAGTTAAAACTCTGATGCTAGTAAATCTAATGAGTGCAGTTCTGTTTAGTGCAATTTCTGATCTAAATGCATTTCAAACGTACTGAAATTTATAAAAATAATGTGAATTTCAAAAGTCATTTTTTATTTGTGTCCAATACAGCCAAACTTTTAAATTACTAATATACAAGTACTCTCCAATTCCAGCAGCTTTTCTTTTTATTACATTTTCTTGCCACCATTATTAAGAATGGGCTGTGAATTTCATAAATTCAGAGTCTAATTAAAATAAGCTAATCTGAAGAATCGACACAACTTTTTGTTTTATATAGTTGTGATGAATCTCAGAATGTTCAAAATCCCAGTGGCATGCACCCATTTTTATTTTAAAAATAGATGAAGTCATAGTAGCGGTCACGGTGGATAAAAGTGAGCGGAGGTGGGTATGATGAGGGCAACAAATGATGAGCACGACATAAAACATTTACAAGCTGTACATGCAAAAATAAGATGTGATTAAAAATTACAGGTTGCTTCATTGCAAACATTAAAAATCTGACTGCGTTAGACTGCGACTGAAAACGTGTCTATTTTTTTGTGATTTTGAATCATTGCCTCAGAGATGCTACTTTTAGCAGGAGCATACACCTCTGTAGCTACAGCTGCTGTAAAGTGCAATAATAAGAAGACCAAAACAAGTGTTGTGAGAAGCATTGCTGCAGTTTCATCCTTTGTTTGGAGCAGGCTGGTAGGTAGAGAGCACGACTAATTCAAGGAGCGTTTTTGATTAAAATCCTCACGCCTAATCATTACTTAGACGTAGCCTGAAACTAACAACAACAGATTTCACAACATCCTGAACAAGTCGATCGAATCTTGTTAAAAGTAGCACAGAGAAACAAAAAACATTACCCTCGAGTCATCGCAAAGTTCTCAATTACTATTCTTTAAACAAAATGAAAATATCCAAATAAAAAAAGAATGTGTGTATGCCAATCTAAAAGGGACCCCACATACACACACCCCATTCCAGAAAAGCCTGCTGACGAACACCACCTGGGGGAGTCAGGTGGTCATTACCATAGAAACCAGCCTTTGAGTGGCCACATAAAAACTGGGTTATAGGTTAAAGGTGCAAAAGTACCAAACATGGAGAACTTCACAAAACTGGTTTCATGGTGCAACATCTCTTTTTAAATCAATCCTTATAGTCTAAACACTTTAACGTACATGGTAATCTGACCGTACGCTGCATGAATCAAGAAAAGCTGAACAAAACCCCCATTAAAGATAAGGGATAGAGAGATGAGTGAGCATCATGTCAAGAATCTGTTCATTTGGGTTGGTTTACATTATTTTTTTTATTCTGAAAAGATTAAATGCGATGAGTAGTAGTGCAACGTAGGTCTGACCTGGCAGAAGACTGGCATGTGGGTGTCAGACAGGGAATTGCGGAGATCCTGGGCCGTCAAAAGGCTCAGGGGCAGGCGGTCCACGCACAGACATTTGGAGTGCAGCAGTGGGTATGTGAGCGAGCCCACTTCAGTCCAGTGGACGTACAGCATGCGGGAGCCCAGCTGCTTGCCCAGTAGCTCCGACTTGGCCCTGGCCGCCGAGTCCTTCTTCATGTACTCCACAAAGCCGTAGCCTTTGGAAAGCCCCGTGGAGGCGCCGTAAACCAGAAAGCAGCGCTCAAGGTTGCCAAAGGGTCGCACCAACTCCTCGAACTGCTGCTGAGTAAAGGCCCGGGGCAGGTTGGCGATGCACAGCAGAGTGTCGGTCGGCTGCAGCTGCACTGAGATCTCCCTGTCCCGAAGAGCATGCTGGTGGAACTCTTTGATGGCGCGCTGGGCTTGTTCCCCGTTGAGCAGAGTCACAAATGCTGGGGCAGAAACACAAAACTTGGTGTAACGTTTGTTTAAGCAGATTGAAGAGAAAAGATGAGCTTTCATGCGTAGCAAGTCTCAAAAAGAAAAACTGTTGTTGACACAATTTCCCCTTAAGCATGCCTGATAAAAGATGATGCTGATGGCACAATGTCAGCAAGCGGCAGCTTTTATCCTGCCAGCACAACTTCAGCTCAGACTGAACCCCCACAAGTTGTCACAGTGACAGTCAAGAATCAAAGACGTTGAAAACTAATGGACTGTCCCCGACAAAAATGAGACGCATCTGGACTTGGGACTCATTTTAATGTTGTTGCTTTTTCATTGCATTGCAATGTGATGGACTCTAAATAGTGTTGATAGTGCCGTTTTTTTTTTTTTTTTGTGCGACAACGGCTTGATAGACACCAGAAATTTACCATCTGGTTCATGTTTTTTTTATTGGCTCATTATTGTCTGCCACCTTCTAGAGAGATATTGCTCTGAATACAAAAAGCAATTTAAAATGCCTACTCTGAGCTCATGTTTCTTTTCTAAAGTCTCTCCTCCTGAATGTGGATGCAACTCACAAGGGCGTTAATAGTCCAGGTACATTTAAATTGATTGCAATTCATTGCGACCTTGTGACAAGGAAATTACACTACTGGTCAGGACAAAAACAGTCGTTTCTGAACGATGAACGACTGAAAGTCTGACCATCAAAATAACGTTCTGAACGTACCAATTAGGTTTCGCTTGCAAATGTTTAAATTAGTTTAATCTCCAAGCTACTCATCTTCCCTGCATTCAGAAAAGTTTGATTCCAAGAGTTAAAAAAGTAAGGCAACAGGAGTTTGTTTCAGTAGTTGACTTCTCATCCGAGGAGCTTTTTGAATCCAAAAGCAAAGTGTTGTGTTCCATCTTCCAAGCTGAATTCCAAACACCCACACTTGCCCCCATCCTCATTCGCCCCACTCTGGGCCCATGAGCAAGGCCCTTAACCCCCCCATCTGCTCCCTAAACAGGTCTCTCTTGAAAATTAGTTATTGTGGCTAAATGAGACTACCTGGATAAATAAAGGGTAAATAAAAATAAAAAAAAGAAAAATGAATTCAAAGCAAATTACCCCCCTTCCATTTCTTCCTGAGGGTCATTAGAGTTTGTGCAAGCTTGGTTCCCAGGAGAGATGTTCTGGTCACAATTATAAAAGTACCACACCTTCATGCATGTGATCTAAACATCTCTTTGATTTCGGCTCACATTAACAGAACACCTCACTGCATTTTATAAGCTGGGAATGCCACACTTAACTGGAATTTTTAAAAACGCTCCCTTGGATTCAACTACAGGAACAAATTCCAGTTGTCTTGTTTTTGAAACTCTTAGAATTTGCCATGTCCTGGACGACTGGGAATCTACACCAACATATCCTAAAGCCTGGTCGAGGCTCCCCTTGGGAGTGACATGGATGGATAAAGGGCCCAGCATACTCCACCCAAAGCCAAACTGTGGACCAAAGTGGTTTCGGGACGTTAGTTTTCGCACACCACAGACTCTGCCTTCATACATCTCCTCCTACATGTCTCTGCGTGAGTGCAGCTACAGTGTGCGCTCTCAAGGACATCATTACCTGCAGTGTTCCCTCAATGAGGACTGAACTAGGCAAAAGGGCCTTCTCCTACTCCGCTCCTGTTTCCTGGAATATCTTACAAAAAAGATTTGAAGCTCTCAACCTTGACCTCTCTAAGTTGCTTTAAGGATCTGTTGGACTCCTGGCAGGGACCAATGCAGGCATGTTCCTGTTTTTAGTTTTCTACATTCGCCTTAGAATCTAACTGTTTTGTTACTTTTTTTTTAGCCATCCTATTTGTAAAAAAAATAAAAATCTGTATGCCTTTTTATAACTGACTATTATTGTCGCTGTTGTCCATTGTTGTCATCATTCTTTGTTGAAATCAGGTCTCTCTTGTAAATGAGTCCTCGGGGCTCACTGGGATTTACCTGTCTAAATAAAAGTTGAATGAATGAAGCACACATTTCATAGTTCTCGAGACACAGGCGCAGAGCTCCTGGGAAACTCCTCACGCTGCCGTATACATAACTGCACGGGTTTCTTCCTGCCAGAGTCTCCACTCCATCCCTGCATCCACCATTCGGCCACAAATCTATCATAAAGAAAGTGCCACATTTTTCAGCAGACAGACTCCTCCATACACAATGTCTGGAGTTTTTGGCCATTTGACTAATTTAGTGTGTTCGAAAAGTTATACAGCTGAACGTCAGAGCGCATTTGTGGACCCTTATCAGAGCCGAGCCGGCTGATAAGACACTGTGCCATCTTATCAGGACTATGGAACTTTCTGGCAGTGTTCACGGACAATCTCACCACCGTTGTCCCCCCACCCATTGCTGCAAAATGTCTTGTGTCTATCCATGTTTCTTTTTTGTTGTGTGTGCTGAGGTAGTTGTTTTGCTGCCTTACACGGACGGTGTCCTGTGTCAAGGAGACTGCCAGAGACTTTTTTTATACCAGTACCTTCTTCCCTCATGTTTCTCTTCCCTTTTCTTATCTAAACGATAAGGGCAGTGCTTCACAACAAAGCTGCAGCCCATCGTGCACCCCCGTCTACACTTGTTGTCCTTGGACGGCTGCACTGAAATGCATTTTTGCTGTGTTTAACTGTGCAATGACAATAAAGTTGATTCTGATTCTGATTTCAGCGTCGACAAAATGCCACAAACTTCTGAACAATCACAATTCTCGGAGCACGTACGCATGTGAGAAAAAGCCTCGTGTCGAGAAGGGGTGGACGAAGTTACTCTGACAACAAAATGACGATTTTCATCATGCAGTTACGTCAATGAGAACTGATTTTGCCGCTTCGTATCGAGTATGCAAGGCCTTTAAGAATAGGAATGAGATCATCAGAGGTACATTACAGGTTGAATGACTGCAAGATAGAGGAAGAGGTCAGACTGAGATCATGGATACGTCTAGAGAAGGGACAGAGGTTATATTGGTTGAAGGTGGGTAAAATGCAGCTGACAGGAAGAAGACAAAAAGGAAGGTGAAAGAGGAGCTATGGAAGTAGTTCAAGACAGAGACATTTGGATTTAGAAAAGAGGATGCAGAAGAAAGAGCGTGATTGAGGAGGATGACTCGCTGCGGCAACACCTGGAGAGAACAGCCGAAAGACGAAGAAGCAATTGAATTGTGTATACAGTTGTCAATCTTTTTTTCTAGCATCCGTTTAGAAACCCAGAGGATGAGTCAGACCAACCTGTGCCCTTGTATTTGTCAACAAAGCAGTACTTCAAGTCGTAGCTTCCCAACATCTCGTGAATCTCCTGTAAAAAAAAAAAAAAATACAGGTCATTCCACATTTACATAATACAAATCAATCTTTTTTTTTTTGTCTTCTAGATTCTGTCTGTAATTGTGAACTGCGACATGATTAACTCATTCATGTCCACAGGGGAGCAACACCTGTGGGAGAAGGGAACTGAGGAAAAACTCCCTCATTGTTGTGGGAGAAATTGTTCTGCGCTGCTTCTGGCCCATTCACAAACGAATGATGGCGTTGGTCTCTAGCATTTTCTGAAACCTTTTGTCTCTACGCCTTCTAGCTTTTGTTACGTGGTAACTCACATCTCGAACTCCCTCTCTACAACACCCCCCCCC